CGTCATTATGACGTCATCAGCTAATTATTACATGAAATAAATATGAATTGATAATATCTTTAGAACTACAAACATCACAACAACAAATGTGGCATCAAATGAAAGGGAACAACAAGATTTTTCATTTGAGTGGTATGTCAGTGGGATGGAATGTAGTACAGGGTGTTTTTTGGCCAAAAAGCCCTATTTTGGTAAAAGAAAATGGTGCTAAAATCATGGATTGGGGTAATCATTTTGGCACCTTGTTTTAACATGCAAACCGTGAGTGGTATTGTGAGTTTTTGTTCTTAGGTCAGAGAGAATGGTTCAAATACTATGCCAAGAGAGTTTTCGTAATTGATTATCGGTATCTTAAATGTTGAAACTTATTCCAAAGATAGGCGGACAAAAAAACGTAATATAAGTTACAGTCGGGTGCCCATCCGAGTGTATTTCAGTTATAGGTTAATCACGTGTTACGATGTGGAGCTTGAAGGGGTTGGGCAGTCTGCCGAGTGTATCTGCGATCACCATCATAGCACCAGGTTTGTAGACATCGTCGAAGTCGCATCCTTGTAGCTTAATAAAACGCTGCAAGCGGGGTGGTGCACTGGCTAGGATTTTGCGCCAGATCGTAACCAATGGTTTTAATGGTCAGTGACGACAATGAAGTTGCAGCCGAATGAAGTTGCAGCAGTGACACAGCTTCCTCTCGATATTCGAGAATATGCTCTTGGCAGAGGGTCTATAGGCTCTTTAAGGAAAATGCGATCGGTTTACCTTCATGGCTGATGCCCAATCCTCTTTCAGATGTATCTACTTTGAGGAAGGTTTTTTTATACCAGTGGGTCGGAGAATCGTAGCCAGGACTGAGTTGAGATGGAGTGTTTCAGGGTTATAAAAGAAGTTTGATGGTCCTCTTGCCAGAGAAATGGTACATCTTTTCGAAGAAGATCACAGAAGGGAGCAACTTTGTCTACGCAATGTAGGGTGTAGTGTGAGACAATGTTGACTTTAAAGGAACCAGCGGTTTCCATCAGGGCGATGAGGCGTTCGGTGCTCGTCATGCTCTCCAAGGGACACCGAATACTGCAATGTCGTTGCGGTGATTGTTCCAACGCATCAAGGCATCTAGCTTATTTCGCCATCAATATTTTTGGAACTATTGTCTTGGCTTACTGGTAAGCCGATGAGTGGGCGACGAAAGCTGTTACAACCAAATTGTATGTTGTCAGCTCTTCAGACTGCTCTAGATGAGCAGACCAATACCCTGCTTTTGACGTCTAGCTTGGAGAAGAACCTTTCCAGCGCAAAGTCTGGCTTGAGCTACTCAAGAGTGGGGATCTGTAGAAAACATTATGTGTTTAGCTGCTTGGGATCCGGACACACCCTGAATGGGCCGTCTTTTTTGGCAGTTGCTGTGATTGAGCTGCACCCGTCCGTGTGATGGGAGACTTTTCGTATGACCCAGCCTTTCTCCATCTTTTTCAGCTCGGCCTGCGGTTTTGGTTTGACATGAAAGCTGTACCTACGTGGCGGATTTATGTGGGACAGAGTATCTGGCTTGAGGCGTCTAAGTCGTCGAAGGTATTAAACTGCGTTGGGAGCCGGTCCTTCAGGCAGCGGCAGCGGAACGGGTTTGAAACTAGGGGGGGGGGGGGCATCACCGAAAAGGGGCACTTGCTCAGCATTGCTTTTTTTGCACATCCGAGCTGAAAGGTCGACACGTGTTTTTCACCGGACATTGGCCTCCGTAAAATCAAATGGGGGAGGGGGGGGGGCTGGAACCTGTGAACTATGCATTATGTGCCCATTTTCAGAGCGTATTGTATTCATTTTGGGGCTTGGTTTTCATATTCGTCGTTTATATCAAAATCATCTATTGGGAAATGGTTACTTCTAAGAAATAGTAAGATACTTTGAGGCCATTTTTTTAGCTCGAGGGGACACTTTTATTCTCTCATGTAAATGAGGTTTTTTGACCCAAAAAGTGGTTTTTTTTGCCCCCAAAACCACCCTTTACTACATTCCATCCCACTGACATACCACTCAAATGAAAGATCTTGTTGTTCCCTTTCATTTGATGCCACATTTGTTGTTGTGATGTTGGTAGTTCTGAAGATATTATCAATTTATATTTATTTCATGTAATAATTAGCTGATAAGTCATAATGACGTCATATATTGCCCTTCCCATCATCCAATTTTTTGCGTCCGTCTTTTTTTTCGAAAAGGTATACCATGGAGATGCTTTGGTGAAAAAATTGTGCTTTGGTGAAAAAATTGTGCTTTTGTCCACCGTGTACCGATCCTTGGCATTTTTGTCACTAAGGTACCTCACTATAACCTGTTGAATTTGTGAATTATTCTTTATCATTTCACTAGCACGGTGCACTCCAAGGGCGTTGGGGATGGAAAATAGAAACATCCCGGACAACAGCATAACGGCATCGTCCGTCCATAGTAGTAGCTATCTCCCAAGCACCGCTCGACTTAATGTAGGTAGGTATCGCATCCTTTCTATAAAAAATCAACGATCCTATATAAGTAATGGGCATTTATGTTATGGTAAACTTTTAACGGTGATATTTCCATATTTATGTTGTGCCTAGTTGCCTCATGAATATAATGATAAATGAAGTCATTTGTTTTTCTGCTTATGCTTCCTTGCGTAACTTAGTAGTGCTGTGTCATTAGGGCCCAATTTCATGGCGCTGCTTAACAACAACAAAGACTCTACCAAAACATTTTTGCCAAGACATAATCGCAAACATGAGTTGTTAAGAAAAGTATGGTTTTATATGGCTTCTTTTGGACTATTTGCTTACATTATTGATGCACAGTTCGTTATTACACATACACATGAATGAAGTCATTCTGTAGGCACCGAATGGTGACCATAGAACTCGGTAATTACCAAAGCCATACAATTAATGGGCCAAAGTTGTCGTTCAGTGGATTTGCCGGATAGTTCTTTAGTTCATTGTTTTGTGAGAATTTCAATATGAGGCCCAATTTACACTAGAAGTGCGGCGTCTCGCAGTAAAAGCCATTTGAGAGAAAAATATCGCGGAACTATACAAATTCATGTTGATGACTAATGAAAGGTTTAGGTCAAACGGTATGACAAGGCTCTATATATAAACCACCCAAACGGTGATTGGTCAGAAATGCAGATTTATAACGTGATATTTTGGAAATTACAATGTACTTCTTTTTAAAAAAAGTCCTTCATTTGATCCAAATAACCTGTTGTTTACCAATGGAATTAAACCAACATTTCAGATCATGTAAAGAGGGCATGAACAATGATATTGAGTGTTATATCAGTTTTGTGCAAGAGGATAATATTTAAATGCCGTACGAAAAACTACTTACTTTGGGAATGTCGATACAGTGGAGGAAACGGTGGCGGAAGGTGCGTGCAGCGGCCGAAAGCTTCTGAAGGAATGCAGAATCATCCCTAATGTCATTGCACGCCTCCTCGGTCGTTTGTTGTTCCAAACGATTGAGGAGGAGTGCAGTGACATCAAGGGTGATCTTGCATTTCTAGAAGCTTTCTGCCGCAGCACGCCCCTTCCACCACCACCTCCAGTGCTGTATTGACATTGGAGGACGCCAAGTCGAAAGTGGCAGATTGTGAAAATGAGTATTTATTTTTTTTCGTATGGCGAATAAAATCTTACCCTCTTTCCCAAAACTGATGAAACTCGCTTCATAAACTTTGTCATATGCCTTGTTTAACATTATTTGTAATTCCATTGGTAAACAACAAAGTAAATATTTAGAATCAAAAGTAGGAATAGAAACTGTTCGTCGGAATAACATTCACCTTTTCAGCCATACCTTTCTAGTGACTGTATTATTGGAGTAAAATTGATAAATCGTAGTGATTGTACATCTTCTGATTGTAGGCATTATTTTTTAATTTGCGTATTGGAACATTCCCAACGCTAATAATAAAACCATTATATCATCCACAGGAACCCAAGGATGGGTACCAAGCACTCCAGCAGATCAGTGGATTCAGGTTGACCTGGGTAAAACCACGACGGTTACCGGGCTCACCATGCAAGGACACCTCAGCGTGACTGTTGTCATGTCAGGGCGTTTTCAGTCCAGCACAGCCTCACAGCTGAGTTAGATGACTGGCAGAGTTTAACCAATGCTGACGGTGGAGCAATCAGAGTGAGTTACAGAGGGCGCTTTCCAAACATTCAGTCATCTTTATT